TTAATCTGCGATGAGTACAATTCCCTTCTGGTGTTACTTACGATAAAAATTCTGACAAAATTTTACAAATAAATCACTTATTTTAAATTAATACCAAATCTGGACATAAATCAAGAGCAATATACGATGCCGCACACACCAAAGTTATGTGGGGGAAACTGATTTCAAGCTTTATTTTTTTCCCAAGTATATGTAATCCATCTAACACATAGTTGGGTTTGTTTGTTAATGCAATGACAATATTTCTATATTTCTTAATGTACTCCATTGAATGACAGTTGGCAGATTGCACCCAGAAACTAATGTCAAAAAGGACAGCAACCATGTAATTTCATCATAAATCAAGTTTATGTAATTTAAATAATACTTATCCACGCCTGTAGAACTGGTGTGTCCTACATAGATAGGAATAAATACACATTATCATTCCAAGTGTCAATATAGTTTGGGGCCTTCACAATATATTATGTTATGGCCACTCAGATGTAGTAAGTGAGAATTGGGGAAGTATGCCGAACTTAACCTCTCTCCAAACCTAGGTGGACAACTAGCACTAACCGGCAAAGTAGGGTGAAACGTGGATATAAATATGAGTGGGGAGGTATCGGCTTCCACATGAGGTAAAACAACGCTACAGCCCAAGAGAGATAGCCTCCAATAGGAGCGAACAAACCTACGTCTCATAGTAAGGGCGCTAAACTCAGTAGAACGGATGTTTCCATCAGGTGTAGCAGTCTCGACAAAGTGTAAGAATCAGGCGAATCGCACACCGAAGGGTAGGTCCCAACAAGACGTTGGTTTCAGTAAACATAGTACAGTCAGGTTACTCCCTATTACAGTAGCAGGTATAGTCACTTAGAGCCCTTACGGTATCGGTCAAGAGGCTGAGTCTGCATTTGACCACTCAGTAAGTCCTCTCAAAATCACACTCCAGTTCAAAAGTCAGTGGGCTTATTTTCCAACCAGTGACCATATTCCTAAAAGATCTAGCATCTGTATCCGTTTAGTAGATATTGTTAGAAGACTAGACCTAAGTGCATAGTGCCAAAATGGCAAGAGAATACTTATTTTAAGGGTTTTCTTGTGTTGAGATTTGAAGTTTAATGACTCCCAGGACTTCATGATTGCTGTTGGGAGCCCCAAAGTTAACTGGCGTCGGTGGCACAGCGGTTAGGATGCTCGCTGGTAATTCACATGGTTCGGGGTTCGATCCCCTGACGACGCACAACGGTAATCTGTGGTTGGCCTGCCGAATTTGGGCTACTAATGTCACATGCTGAAAATTCAATAGTTGCACCAAAAATACTGTGTGGAATCAAGTTGAAAAAATAAAAAATAAAATAATATACTCTTACTTACAGTCTCCTGAACAAATGGATTGAACTAGGTGGTACTTAGGTTTTTTCCACTACACAATCATGTACATGAATGTACCGTCGGTATAGTCAACCCACAAAAGCAGACCGTACACAAGTTGCTCCAATGAAAACTAAGGGGAGCAGGGTGTTTATCCATCTTAAGAAGAATCTAGCTTATTATGGCACGGCAACACTCGCACACGAAAGTGGATCATGCGAATGTATATGCCTCACACTAAAATGCATGGGACAGGAAATCATTTGTAAACACTCTTTTATAGTCCTGACTATACAGTTGAGGACTTTGGTTCATCGACATAAGACTGTAGGTGTGGTTTGCGACTTTGAGGCTTTGTCACTAGACCGGAAAAATCTAAAAGCAGAACTACTGAAGAATTCCCTCGGCCATATGTTGGTAGAATCTTCCACTTCACTGGTTGTTGTCTTCTGCCTAAAGAAACCAGGGCCTTGGAATTCTCAGCATTCCTTTTCGACTTAGGACGTTGTTTTTCGATGATGCTGATGTGAATTTCACGGACTATCCCTCACTGATGGAAATAAATGACCACGTTTTGCGTTTCTCTAGTCTCACAGCTGCTTAAGTATCCTGTGTAGAAACTCCATTTCGACCAAACACACGGAAGGTAAAAATAAATTCTCTTATCCCTTCTGCCTAATTAGAGGACTGGTTTATGAGTTTGAAAGTTCATGCGAAGGTCGGATGCAGTTGGTTCACATCATTCTACTTCCGATTGCCTCACGTACACATCACATGGACTGCCCCTAAAGGTCTAAAAACAACGCCACCAAGGATAAACAGAAGGATAATTGCTCAAAAGTGGTAGAATGTTCTGACCACCTGTGAGACTTCAGATTCCAGAATAAAGAGTACTACAGTTAGAAAAAAGCTGTCTCAGGATCTCATCAGCCATGGATGATATTGGGAATGCAGTGGAATATGCCAGGAAAATATTAGTACCCAGGAAATCTAGAAATAAGACGTATCCGGAAGTTTCCGACCTGACTGCTGACAAAGAGGATCAGGAAATAGTTGTCCAGATTCTTCACATAGATATTGCCACCTACCACACCGTCGGCTGTGGACACGCAAAAAGATAATGGGTGTGGTTGTGTTAGCAAAGACCATGATATTATATTCCGGGCTCTAAGCAGACTAGACATATCCGAGGCTCCTGCAGCAGCTGTCAGATGACTAAGCTGGCTTGAAGGAACTCAGGAACCGGTGCAATGCAAGAGTCAGGAGGGACGGGAGGTCATTCCAGGCTAACCTTGCTAAAAAACTGCTGGCAAACCCGAAGAATTTGTACCGATTCATGTCGGAAAGAAAACCAACCAACCAGGGGGCATGCTCCTTAGTAGGCCAAAACGGTCAATATCTCAATAGTCTGGATATGACTGAAGCATTTAGTTTAGCCTTCGTCAAACAGCTAAACAACAATGTGGGTATAACCGTTACGAACCAAAATGGTAGCATCACTATTTCACAGGAGGAAGACCAAATAGCCACCCCCCCAAATAAACCCTGCAATACTACTGAGAAAGCTGCAGCGACTCATACCTGGGAAGTCCCCAGGTTGTGATGACATCAGGCCATCTGTTCTGAAACAGTGCGCCGAAGCTCTCTGTAGGCCTTTGTGCGACTTGTTCCAACACTCCATGGAATCGGGGAAACTGCCAAAGGGATGGAAAAGAAGCATCCTTTCTCCGATCTTCAAGGGTGGGGATAGGCAAAATCCCACCAGTTATAGACCAGTAGCTCTACTCCCAGTGGTATCAAAAGTACTGGAAAGTATTATTGACGATCACATCAGGGAATATCTGGATAGGCCTAAAATACTCCATGAAGCATAACACGGTTTCAGGAAAGGGAGATCCTGCGTCACTAACTTATTATCAGCTTGGGACGACTGGACATCATGCTGGGATATGAATGTTCCAGTCCATGTGATCTTTCTAGACTTTGAGAAGGCATTTGACACTGTTCACCATGACCTTCTCCTACACAAAATAAGCCAGGTAGGTTTAGGTAAACCACTTCTGTCATGGTTGAAGGACTACCTAACTGAAAGGCAATTTTGCACCAAGGTCAATCGAGTCCGATCATCTTGGTACAGCTCGTCATCAGGAGTTCTATCCTAGGAGCACTGATGTTCTTGATTTTTATCAATGATCTACCATGCCGTCTAAGCTGCCCGACTCTTCTGTATGTTGACGACGTAAAGATATGGAGGGCGATAAAGTGTCCGGAGGACTCAGATAGGTTGCATGCAGACCTAAACCTTCTGGAAGACTGGGCGGTGGCCAGTGGCATGACTTTCAACCTGAAAAAGTGCAAAGTAGTGAAGTTACGCACCTGTAGACTGAAGAATGCAAGTTGCACCCTGTGCAGTGAAAGCTTGTCCTGCACAACGTCGGAACGCGACTTAGGTCTAGTTCTAACAGAGAAAATGGACACAAGCGTAAATTACACGGGGGATGTAGCGAGGGCATACACTTTACACATAGACAGTTAGGTGCACTCACTCCTGAGCTCTTTCTAAGGTTGTATAAAACATACGTCAGACCGCATCTTGAAGTGCATAATATCATTTCACCCCCACTGCTTAGAAGAGACGCCAACCTCTTGGAAAGAGTCCAACGACGGGAAATAAAAGGAGTGGTTGGTCTCCGAAATAAACCATATAATGAAAGTCTGAAGAAATTAGGCCTATTCACATTTAATTACCGTCGTCTTAGGGGGGATTTAATTACTGCCCACAAAATAACAAATGATCAGAATCACCCAAACAAAGGTGTTCTGCCATTGAGTAGGTATAGGCTTCCTCGTGGAAATCCTAGAAGGATAGCTCATCAGAGGGCAAGGAACCGGGTGCGGTGCCACTTCTTTTCCCTGCGGGTTTGTCGTCCCTGGAATTCCTTACCGGCAGATGTAGCTATGGCACCATCTGTGGACGCCTTTAAGCGAAGGCTGGACAACCATGCAGCGACACAAGGACTTCACCCAAATGGCCTATCCCCTTAAAATCGCATACACCATTCAAAGGTAGACAATTAAACTGGTCGTTTTACTTCTTTACATTCTCTTCCGTCTTACTCTCCTGACAGCTCTAACTACATCTATTATTATTATCATTATTACTGGTATATATATATACCGGTTGACTGACTGTTGTTACGTTTTCTTATTCTTTTTCTGTCTGTTAGTCTGAATACCTTCACTAATTATATCTATTATTATTATCTCTTTTCTATTGACGACGATACCGAAAGACCAACTAGTGAAAGGATCAACTCCATTCACAGTAGTAACAGTCTTAACACACCTTATTCTACAAACCACATATAATTAATCCCTGCACTACTCCTTTTGGAGTCAACCAAACCTACAACAGTCGAGTGGCGGGACGAGCTACGCAGACGTTTACCGAAGATCAGGAACCTCTACCTCACAATCAAGAGGCGAGCACAAAGAAATCAAATTGGTTTATACTAGCTCGTAAAAACGATATTGGATATTGGATTGAATCGTTTTGCCCGCAATCAAATATCTGGATCTGACCTTGTCGTGCTAGGTCACCTCGCTTCAGGCAGGAGGGCAACATTTTGATCCCTTCTCTTTTAATGTCTCATTGGCGAGTTTTGGTATGTGCCTTTCCTCCTGTAAATAGTGTGTTGTAGCAGTGGAGAGCTTTCGCTAAAGAATGGTTGTTATATGATGCTTACATGCAATGCCCTATGCTCTCTGGTGAAAGGATAGCTAAATATTTGAAAGGAAAACATATCCGGTACTATGACCCTTACAGTAAGAGTATTTTATTGTTATTTCTAGATGACTTTGGGAGTCATGTTGTTGTTTTTAATTCCAGACACATTGCTGCGAAAGACAACAGTCGATATTGGAAGCGATTTCTTTATCCTATACATACAAGGTTTGTGGCGTTTGTAACAATGATGTAAAAATTTAAGATTTCCTCGCCACCGTATTGAAGAAACGATGGAAGAAGTTCACCGTCGTGATCCTACCGAAGTGAGTTTATGGTGGTAATTACTAAGTCATAGTTTAAACTGTAAGACAATCATCAAGATAGTAGATTAGAATAAGTCTTCATTTCTATAAATGTTTTTGAATTTCTCAATGAGTGAAAATGGGAAACGATATTGCTACTACTAAGGCTTCACTGTTTAATCCTAATAGCTTTACGAAAGTAATGTTAGACCAGGATTTTAAAAACCTCAGCGTATATACGATAACTTAATCATATTTCTTCAGAATGAGGTAGTTTTTTTATGTTCAGGTGAGTGAATTGCTAAAGATAACAAAATATGTGTAGATTTATGGATTTGATGATTGCAGGCAATTATATATATACATATATATATATTATATGACCACATGTGTTTACAGAATGAAATCCTCTATCACGTGTGGATTTTGTTACTTTATTGGGGTAGAGGGGCCTCTTCCAGGTGTTGGGACCAGGTCAAATCATGTGTTAATCCGTTATTCTTATTTGAACATTTCGAATCCCATTTAAAGATGAAGCGCTTCTGATATTAGACATTCTACTTGATTTCTGAAATTTTTCTGGATCAGTTGAATATTGACAAAATTTATTTTTTTGCCTGGTCCTGTAGCGTCTGTACCCATGGGTGAATAGGAATGATCATATTTATCTTAGTACTGTTGTGTTTTGGTTATTTTCTGTTTAGAATCGTAGCAATATGAGCTGGCTTATTTCTCCGTGAAGCTGTGAGTATAGGTATCGGTTAAACATGCCCAACATATATTTCAGTCATCTCAGGTGACGCAAGTTTGTATCTTCATTGAGTGATGGACACCTATTCTTCAAAGTACTTTGTACCTAACGTCTATATGACGCATTTATTAGTGCCACCAAATATGGGTAGTGCTGTGAAGACAAAGGTAGTCAAATAATTGTCATGCAGCAAAAACCCTGACTTACATAATGCATGTTTTGCAGTTTTGTTCAGTTGTTTTATTGAAGTTTTTCACTTTTCATTGTTTAGGTTATTCGTCTGGAGACTAAAGCCAACCTAGAAAATAGGGAATCCCGTAAATATCAGTTAGAACGTCTTCACATATATCCTGACGGTATTGAAGTAAGTTCTAATAAATCAGAATTAATTTCGAGATTTAGACCGTCCCTAAGGATATTATCGCGAATGTTTCAGGAGTAATTCCACAAGTTATGAAAGTTCCTAAGTCTCTTAATGAATATTCTCCTGAAGAACTTGATGAATTTCCTAAACTTTTTGATTGGTTAGTTGTGTATTTTATGTTGTATCTTTTGGTTTTGGTGTATTGGAAAATTACTTTTGGAGTGTGAACAACTAAAGTTACCATTTCGATGTTGCAGACTGATAAATGCACATTCAAAATGTTTATTGTACGTCTCACCTATGTTAACTAGAGGATTATAATGAAATCTTATTAGTGATCAGATGGAAATTTGGCTTTAATTCTTGATTAAGGGTTTAAATAGTCGGTTTACGTTAGGACTAATGTTCATTGTAAATGTAAAGTGGTGTACTTTAAGCGAATATACTGGCGTCTATGTATTCACCCTTCTTATTCTCTACCTTTAATGGTGTTTTGACAATTATCGCTTACTCCTTTATTTTTCCTGGTTTCTTATATCTGCTTCTGTTGCATATTTCAAGATTCTGCTTTCTTTTTTCTGCGGAAAGTCATTCTGTATTGAAGTTGCTTAGTACTACACTATAAAGAAGAAGGACTTCAATGATTATTCGTCCTGTCTATAAAAGTGATGTTTTAAAATGACCAAAAGCGCAGGTAAGGTGACTAGAATGGAAAATATGTAAGAAAGCGAATGCTAAATATACTCTGTTTTTGTGGCCATAATGTGATGTAGTTCCAGTTGGTCTAAGTAGTTGGAGTCATCAAGATTTTAAGAATTATTGGTTGGAGGTTTGATGAGATAATCAGCTGTTTACATTTGTGCAAGTGTGTTCGGTCTACCTGTGAAATCTTGGACACTTTCTCTTATCTTAATATAATCATTCGTTCCTGTGATTTTCATGTTTGTCAAGTGTAGTACTAAACTATCTCTGCTCTCACTTCTCTCTTTGTTCTCTTTTGAAGTACAATAAGTTAAATTGATATACTTTTAGTGAAGTTTATCATATTTCTCTTCGTTAGTTCATTTGTATCTTTCTCTTTGTTTTTAGTTTCACTTAAGCTAACTTTCCTTCTGTCTACGTTACTATGAAAATGTAATTTGTAACAGTTTACTAACTAATTTTGGTTGTGTGTAGAGCCTTGAGCTGCAATCTACGAATGTTTGACATGTGATTCGCTCCCGCCAAATGTAAGATGATTCTACAGGACTGCACTACATTGACTCCTAGCTTAGAAATAGGGAGTGAAGTGGTAGAGTACGTTGACCACTTCACTTATTTGGGAAGTTGCATCAGCCAGTGCCAACGGGTTGATCGTTGACGAAATCTCAGCACGGATACAGAAGGCTAGTTTCGCATATGCCAGTTTACGCCGTCTTTGGCTTAGTAGACGTGATATCCGGCTATCGACCAAAGGACGTGTGTACTGCTCAGCAGTCCGCTCTGTCCTCCTTTATGCATGTGAGACATGAAAAGCCTGGCTAGCTGTCTTTGATCATAGGTGCTTACGTTCTATCTCCCGTGTGAAGTGGTAGAATAAGGTGAGCAATATTGAAGTTAGGCGTCGAGTGCTAGGTAAGGAGGAGAAATCAATAGATGAGGCTGTGAAGTTACACCGATTGAGATGGTTAGGACATGTGTTACGTATGCCCTGCCTAGCCATCGCCTTCCTCGACGTGCAATGTTAGCTGACATAGGATCAGATTGAAAAAGAGCTAGTGGTGGTCAAACCAAAACATGGCTTCATCAGTCAATGAAATCCACAATAGTTAGTTTAAGCCACGTAGGAAGATGTAGACTTCCTGGTTGGAGTCCTCGGGACGGTAAACACCAATGGTTGGAGACAATTGGTGATATGGCTCAAAATCGTTCTCAGTGGCGCAGATGCATCCACTCCTTGTAACTTATAATACCCAATAAAACTATATTGTTCTTCGATATTACTGTTCTTTTCGCCTTATATCTCTGTTTACTATCTCTATATTACATTTCTTTTTACTTTCTTCTCTTGCTTTATGTGAAGTGTGGCGACTCGAACTGCTGCACATCTGTGCAAAGTTTTACTTTGAAACCAGTCAGTCCTTTATTAGACATTTTTTTTTTTATTTATTTTGATTTACAGCTTGTTTCCACACCATATTTTCAGTACAAGTGTGGAATTTTCAGCATGGATATCGGTAGCCCAAATTCAGGCCGACCATAGATATCGGGTGTGCGCCGGCAGGGGATCGAACCCCGGACCATGTGCATGGTCGGCGAGAGTCCTAACCACTGTGCCACCGACGCACTTAGAGATTAGCTTTTTCTTCAGTGCAGTTCTCAACGCGAATCACATGACTGAATGCTAATAAAACAACCATACAGTATGGAGAATGCGCTGACCAATCAACTTGAAACATTCTGGAATGATGCAGTGTAAATTCTCACTAGAAATTAAATATATTACCATATCCTGTGAAATCGTAGTGAAGATGATGTCTAGAATATCATTGAAAGCTCTGTCACTATGTTCAGCTCAGTGCATTACCTCTGTATTAATTAGATTCCTCAATATTTTTTCATATGAGTGGCAAAAATAGTTAAAATATTTTCTTATATTTGTGTTGGAAACTTTGTTTTTATGTTGAGAAAATACTTTTTTCACTCCTCTGCGTCCTGGGTAGAATACAGGGCTCCAGGCTTGAAGCCTTTAGGTCTCAGTAACCGTGGTGTTGTGGAATTGCTGGCCTCACGTCCAAGTTTCCCTCTTTCCTGGATCTACTATTGGCTAGTAAACTGGTTGTTAGGAGTTCGCCGGTCAGGATTCGAATATTAGACCACGTACGTAGTTGGTGAGCTTTCTACCGGTGAACTGTCGATGGACTTTGAAAAACTGTAGGGGTTACTTAATTGGCCTCTTTCCGCCTGTCTGTTTAAGATGGCTTTAGGTTGGTTTTCCCTACTTTATTAGTCGTACAGACGGTAATAATAAACAGTATGTTTTAAGTTTAACTGTTTACTGGCATAGCCTGCTTCTATAAATTAGGCATATGCATGTGTGCAGGTTCTCACCTGAGGGTTTATCGACGTGTCAAAAATGCGTAATGTACAGTTTTTTTACGGAAAACGTTTGCCTCCTCATTCTTTTAACAAGTAATGATATCACTAGTGACTATATATTTTGTTTCCTATGCGAATTTGTTTCATTATGCGTGTCTTAATAATACAATATATTTTTTTTGTTGAAATTTTTGTTTACAGGCCAGAGGATTATCATGTCTCACCGCTCAGCCCAATCACAATCAAGTTACTCAAAAGAGAATCTAAATAACTATTCTGTATCACAATATTGTTCATATCTGTATTGTACATTGTAATCACATAGTTTACTTTAGTACCAATTGCTAATTTTGTGAACATGATATTGATTAATTTTTTTGTTCATGGGGTGGGAGATTCACGATAGTATTCCTACGAATAGGATGATGATGTGCAGTTTGTAAGCGGAAAATGGAAAGCTGGTGTCGGTGATCGAAGCTGTACTGCCCCTTTGAATCTCAGTCAATAATTCCTTGCACGTTGTTTGACTTAAAGCTTAATTTATCTTATTAACTAAATGGCACTAGAAGCGATATCTTCTTTTGACGTCTGTTTCACTGTCACAGATGTAATGTGAAGACTAGTCGTGACCAGCTGGACCCACCAGATTAGATCTGGGGACAGATAATCACCGATAACACTGGGTGGTGGTCGTGCTATATGTTGAGAATTGATAGAAATTAGGATTGGGTTCTGTCCCAGTGGCTAAATGGTTAACGAGCTCACCTTATAACCCGAAGGTTCTGGGTTCGATCCCTGATGGGGTCATGCTTGCAAACTGTTGGGGAGTCTCAAACAAAGACGAAATAACTGTCCAGTACTCCTTGGTTCTCAGTGGTTCCCTAATTGAAGTCAGTTCATGATCGAAGTTGCAGTTAATCCTACAGTCAAATAAGTAACTGTCCCGACCACTTACTCTTGATAAGTTTCATAGTACCAGGTGGGGACTTAAATGGGAAAGTTGTCCATATAGAGTCAAATGAGATAATCATCTTCAGCAGCTTTTCATTAGTCGAGATTCATTTGTAGCCATCACCAAATTCTGGTATGGTTTCTACTGTTGTGCTGCTTGAAATTCTCTTTCTGCTACCGATGACATATGTGGATATTTCTAGGTTTGAAGTACTTCATAAGATTCTAATCATTTCCTCTAGGTTTCATTTTGCTTTTCGTTTGTCATTATCATCGGCATATGAAACTAACTGACACTATTCAAGCTAAATTCAAGACTTCATGTTGGTTTAACTTAATACACTTTAGATTTTCCCGTTGATTGATTTGACCGAAGTGCTCGGTCTCTGGTTGACATGTCAGCTCCTTGTGCAGATGCTGGTAATATAACCTGAAGTCAGTTGGCTGACGGTGACCAGCAGTGGAATCCAGGATGCGCATTTAGTCCTATTTGGGACTCGTGAGCTGGATGCACCAGTGAGTGACGGTGTTCCCACCGAGCACTTCGGACCAATCAGTCGATCAGTTACACAAAAGGTGCCTTTCGTGGCTCCAGTGGATAACGCTTCGGCGTTTGAGGCTATGGGCACTGGGTTCGAGCCCCGGTGGGAACACTATCACTCGCTGGGGAGTGCAGGTATATCAAACTGACAAGTCCCAGATAGGACGAAATGCGCATCCTGGATTCCACTGCTAGTCACCATCAACCAATTGACTTCATGTTGGCTTGTTTATTTATTAGGGCGGACAGTTATACAGTGTTATTTTCGTGGATGATGTTTTGGACGCAGTTTATTGCTCTTGTTACTGACTAACATAAGTAGTTGGTAGTCACATATCTGCCAGCTGTACTATTTAGGCAGATGGAGGTGATCTACTTATCCAGTGATTCGTTTGAGGCTCAAGTTTCTTCACATTTATGATATTCCTTATGTAACTGAAGTTGGTTGGAAGTACGAAAATTAATGGGAAGCCTTGTTATTGCGTAACCATTCTTTCTTTAGGATTCATATGCCATGTAAAAGTAGATGACATTGCGCATATGACTACCAAACTGGTTTTTTTTTCAACGTAGAACTGTGTAAAGGAGTATAGCAATTCAAGCTGCCTCACTCCACATAGGATAGTGTAGACTACTTGCTGTGATATGAAGTATTTGGAAACCACTCACGTGAGACATTACTACTTGATATCCAGACTGAGGTGACCTGAACACCAGGGAGCTGATTCGCTGATCTTGGAAAAAGCTCACCACTGGTGCATCTCATTTGTTTCAGCTCATGCAGCCTGGTCAGTTCAAGCCACCACTGTGACCAATCAACAGTATATGATTGGACTACAGTATTTTGTAGGGATTATAGTTGGTTTCACTGTGGATTTCATCACGAACCAACATCATTTACAGAGACCAAGGAGATCTAGATGGCTGTTTCGTCGTAGTCTGGAACTTTTCAGCGGTGTACACCCACAACCGTATCAAGGATGGCATCCAGGACTTTCAGGTTACGAGATCAAGCTCGTTGACCATTCAGCCAATTGGGCTGGAATTCAGTGACCCGTAAATTCTAACTTTGTTATTTTGTGATATAGCGATATCCTCAAGCAATTCCTTCGATCAGTATCCAACTAGGATGAAACAGCTTTTCAGTGCTCCCTGGTTTTCAATGATCTCTCTAACTAATGTTGGTTAGTGACGAAATCTACGTTGAAACAGTATATATCATCAGGCCATTTCGCTTGCCTCCTTGACTAGCACTTATGGTATCAAGAAGATCAAATATTTTGACCTGAATATTTTTTGTTTTTAAGGCAAACTGTGGTAATTTCTTACCTCGAGGTGTACACTTCTCAAGTGGCGAGTTTCGACTCTAGATGAAATTTAGTAGATTCAGTCAAGCTACTATATAGTATAACAGTAGTATGATAAAGACAATCTCAATTTGTGGAGCAATGCAGGGAAAATTAAGTTAGGCTACAGAATTGTCTAAAAAAATAAATTCATTCACACTTTCAAACTGTTATCATAGTAATTATTACATAATTCCTTAATTATTATTGTTAATTTTCTACATGAAAGTAAGTTGTAATTGTGAATTAATCATTATACTTAGGAAAATATGACTGACTGACTTAGTTCCAACATAGAAATTTGAACAAAAGTGCAGTAGTACAAGTTGCCACATTCCATATGGTACACGAAGGTAATGAAAAAATAAACTCAGGAAATGAGTGCAGTGAGCATAAATATTTGGGAGAAAGAATAGTAACGTAGAAGAACATGAGTATTTAATGGATGTGGGAATTAAAGAGAGTGACTGCTTGTGCGCCATATGGAGGTCTGTTCTGAGCCATATCAGCAACAGTCTCAAGTCATTGGTTCTTAGCATCCAGAGGACCCAAACCAGGTAGTCTACATCTTTCTGCGTGACTCATATCAACTGTCAAAGACTTCATTTGAGAAAATCATTTGTGAATACATACATTTTGAGTCACAACAGTTTACTAAAGACTATATAAAAGATATAGGCTATTCTTTTTGTGCATGGGTTTTTACAACTAATGGAAGTATTTTGAAGGAGTAGGAAAATAGACACATTAAACTATTTTCATAACAGAATTAGTCAGCGATTCTGTACAAACATTGCAGTCCAAATTGGTTTCATGTAGGTTGAGTCGAATGACTTCATACCAGATAGTTTTCAAACTTACTGTCTATAGTAGTGAATTAATATTCATTTTTTCCATTTAATTCCTTTGCATTCTGAGTGAAACGTAAGGCTTCAAGCTTGAGGTTTGAAGTGCCTCTCAGACTCCCCTCTTTATTGGAATTACTGCCCGCTAGGAGAGGTTTAGGAGTGCGTCGATCACTCTACCAGAGAATCAGTGATGAACTGGACATTATCAGGGCAGGACGCATGCATGTACCATACATCCCTCTTCGAACCTTGCACAGAATCATTAGGTTGCGTACTATCCTATCGCCTTTGGCACATCTGGCAACAAAAATTCATGAGTACACCATCAGAGCATATGACAGACTATGTAGTAAGAAAGTTAACACATCAATATTAATTGGTTTATATTCAGACAGTTTCACCGTTACTCAGTGTACAGTTAGCGTACGTATCACACCAGAGTACAAATCTTCTTCATCAGTCAGCCTGTACGTATTATGTTTAGTCACTTAATTTGTTTGATGGAAGTATCATACTACTATTTCGTAGCGTCAGTAAATATTATAGAATTTAAACATAGTAGTTGTGAAGTGAAATATCCGTATACACAGGCCTAGAAATACAGTGCTATATTAATAAAGTTGTAGTTTATTGGTTTAATCACTTCACTTACAGCGAATAGGTCCTGGGCTCGAATTCCACCCTGTCTATTTCAGCCTGGGTGACTGGTTAGTATCATTAGCCCTCACAATAATAAGAGTGGTGTACATAAAACAGAGTTAAGTAATGTATATGTACTAAACAACTTTATCATTATTTTTTAGTAGGAAGTTTCAATCTCATTCAATGGAGCTATACGACAGTGGTGCATGTCAGGTGATCTACGGTGGAAAACTCAGCGAGGCGTTCGAAGTGAATACCAGAGTAAGACAATGCTGACTACCTATTATCGCCGATGATATTCTTGGTCGTGATGGACTGGATTATGTCAGAGACTGTGGAGAAAGATAAGTTAGGAACAGATTGGATCAACAAGAATAACCTAGAAGACGTGAACTCCACAGATGAGTGGTGTTTAGTGTCCCACAGATTCGAAGACTTACACGTGAAAAACAAGTTTGGGGAAAGATTCAGGCAGTGGATATAGAGAAGACAAAGGTGATGAAGATGACCAACCAACCAACAACAAGTACCAGTCACTATCAATGGAAGAAATTTGAAGGAGGTCACTTCCTTCACTTATCTAGGCAGTATTGTTTCACCTACAGGCGTCACAGATGAGGATTTCAAAACCAGAATCGGAAAGGAAAAGCAGAACTTCGTCACTCTGACATCAGTTTTGAAACCTCCTGTACTAACTCAGCATAAAGAACAAAACTGAGGTTTTCAGCACCAGCGTTTAGTCAGTCACTGCCTCTGTATGGGTCAGAAACTTGATGAACGCATTACGAATAGCATTTCGAATAGCCATATGCAGACTTTTATCAACAGCTGCCATATATTCCACTCAAAACCCAAAGGAATAGTAGCAACAATAATCTATAAATATATCAGAATGGAAAATAATACTCAGATGGGTTATGTGTGTATATGAGAAGTTATATTT